CAGGCCTCGGGGGCCGGTGTCCTGCAGATTTTAGATGTGTCCTTGATCCAACACAGCTTATTTAAAAGGCTAAATGACCTCCTCAACATGTCTTGAAGTTCTCCAGAGACCTAGTAATGAACTAATCATTTGATTCAGGTCTGTTGACCCAGGGTGATGGAGATGTATGAAGATCGGTGGGGTCAGAAGTAGGGTGCCAAGAGAGCATGTACTTTTACAACCTTTTCCCACATTCTTTGTAGCTGTTAATGTTTTTTAATTCCCTATTGGGGTTGCAATGGTATGAGAATTTCTAGGTGCAATAACTAACGTCATTGTGGACTTCAATTGTTACACCTTTATTTTTGCAAAGCTAAATCCACTAAAATGTCTACAAGCACACTCAACATGCAAAGGACTGAAACTGGGTCACAGCTTCTTTGAAGGTCTTTTTGCCAGTGTCCTAATTTTTGTATGTATTGGAGTTGAATCTTAAAAACACTGTCACACATTTTTAAAATGACTATTCAACTAAATAAACAATCACTTGTGGCCATATTTGCTATTGTGGAACAACAGGTATCTTTCTAGGAATAAAAAAATAGCCAAAAATTACATTTGCCACTTTGAACTGGATTCGCTCAATGACTGAGGGAAGTAATGCATCATCTTAAACTCAAGAAACTAAGTAGATAAATCGAGACAACCTAAAACTTAATGGACTATATTAAAACTAACATTTACATCCATTTCCACTACTTAAACAGTGGCCCCCATATATAAACTTAGCATTCTTAATGGTATTGATGAATGTTATCGCTTCTGTCCTAGTCTTAGGAACTCATTGCAGTCTACAGAATAACTGTTTTGTGCATTTGCCTGCCTGTTTTTGTGGTGTCATTTGCTTTATGTGTTTAGAAAATTATACAAAAAAAACCCCTGAAGAAATGAACATCATCCTTACACCTCATTTCAGTTTCTAAATAAATATTATTTACAATAACTCTTTAAGGAATATACCAAAAGACAGTTTTGTTTTAGTAAATTATTTATTAGAACTGAAAATTGAAACAAATTTTTAAAGAAAATATGTGTAAAAAGACTTCCATCTTTTTACAGTCTCCCACTGGAGCAAACAAAATACGGGGAAAATAAATTAACAAACCCTACTTCTTTTGAAGCAATACAAACAGGAAAGGTGCACTAGCTTGACCTATTCTCCAAGAAACCAAGATGACTATGAGCAAATTAAATTCTCTATCCTAATATGAAATATTATCATACGGCTGTTAAACATCATACCATAGTTTAAGGGCAAATCTGCGAACTGCTGCTAACCTAGTCCCTATGTAGTCAAAGGAGCTTGCAAAGAAAGCTTGCAAAGATGACCTGGATGACTGAGAACCTTCACAGACATAGTCCCTATGTAGGATATTTTATTGGTTATCTGTTGTACATGTAATCATTGTGAAGACACTGGTGGACTGAGAACCGATTTGCACCACGGCTGGTGTTATTTCACAGCAAGACAATCCAAAAGCCTATATAAGCCCCCCAAAATACACAGCAGGCCCACCCTGAGCGATGAAAAGTTTATGGAGTTTGTGCTAACATTTGTAAAATCTAGTCTGTGATTTTCTCTTACTAACACAACATGCGCTTCCCTGACCGCAGGGCTCAGTGCACTTTTTGAAGGGGACAGAGCAAAATGGTTTGGAAAAAGCTCTAGTAGATACGCTCCTATAAAGTGGAATGCAGCACAATCAAAGCCGTAGATACATTCATTCTTGCATAGTTAGAGTAAAAGTAATAACCATTAGGATGAGTTAAGAATTCTCAGTCCTTCTCATAACTGATGGACATCAAGTTCACCAAGGTATCTGCTCTCCTGTAAAGTTCAGAAATGAGCCATGGTCCTTTTCAGTTAGCCCTCCAATCACAGACAACATGAAAGAAATACTATCCTCGGGACTCAGTGGAGCCTGGAAAGAGATGGAGAGAACACAAAAGCAAATGAAACACACGCTTCTGTCATGATCCCAGGTCTGTTCTCAGGGTATTTGTGTGTTTTTGAGTGTTATTCAAATTCATTCTTGTTTATTATAAGGTTAGGTCTCTCTTTGGGTCTCTTTTATAACATCTACATTTTCAGGTTTCACGTCTTTTACTTAGCATTTTCAGTCTTTAGTTCACAGTTTGAGTTTCTATTTGTATTAGAGTTTATTTGATTCCTCAGTGTCTCCCTCCATCTTATTGTCCTGAGTTAAGTTCACTCAGATTTACTTTTTAATTTTCTATTTTACTTCACTAATCACACTCTTTGTGTATTGTTTCTAGTTTAACCTCCTCATTTACCTTGACTGTGCTCAGCTGTGTTTAGCTTCTCTTACGTTTCTGCTCTCCTCATTACTTCATGTTTATTTTTAGCCCCAGTTTGCCTGTGTTCTTTGTTGCATCATAATGTGTTTTAACCATCCATCCATCCATCCATCCATCTTCTTCCGCTTATCCGGGGCCGGGTCGCGGGGGCAGCAGCCCAAGCAGAAAAGCCCACCTCCTCCAGCTTGTCTGGGGGAACACCATGGCATTCCCAGGCCAGCCGAGAGATATAATCTCTCCAGCGTGTCCTGGATCTGCCCCGGGATCTGCTGGCAACTGTTGCTTTTATTTTTGTGCGTTTTGTATTTTGTATTTTACACTCTTTTGGGGTTTTTTTTGTTAAACCAATAGGCTTTTGTTATTTTGGATCTGGACTTGATATAGTTACAAGCAGCAGCTTATATTTGAGTCCTTTTAACTACTATAGTCCAATCCATGACATGTTTTTACACACACACACACACACCATTTACGGTATATACCACAGTGGTATAGCCCGTTCATAAGTCCAATGCATTCTCTCTTCCTTCCTCATCGATTATGCGTATCTTAAAGTCATTCAGAGCAGGCCCTTACCTCTGACCCCCCCATGTCAGTGCGTACCCAGCCAGGGTGTATAGCCATACAGAGAATCCCATCTGGCTCTAGGTCTACAGCCATGCAGCGACTAACCATGTTTAGTGCACTCTAAAATGACAAGCACAAACAGATTACCATGAAACACAAAGAAAATGAATTTCACCTTGACCCCTCTTTTCATACTCACATCACAGTACAGTTAACCCAAGTTAAGTGATGTCCCTTAGCAGTCCGTTACTTTTTATTATGCAGTATTCTCTAATAACTCTTCTTTCCTTTAACCTGGAAGTTGCTGGGAGCTCCTGCTAGCTGCTAATAGCCAATAATTACTGTTCTGAATGTTTTGTGCAACTCCACATGGTCCACACACCTATAACAGCAATATTAATGCGAAATACTCACAGCTTAAATAAACTGTAATTATTCTTTAAATCACAGTAACAATACCTTGGATGTCCTGTAGGGGTACCATTTGAAGTTGTTGGCCCTCTCACCCCAAGCGAGCTCCACAGAGCCCAGCAGTGAGGTCATGTTAATAACCGCTGCCCTCTGGATTCCCATTGTAGCTGAGCCTCCTGCCCCTCCTTTGGATGCAGCTTTTTTTAGAAGAGGCAGATAAGCCTGGCAGAAAAAAGAAGACACACACATTATAGCTGGAAGCAGCAATAAAGTCACAGTTTATGAATGGTTTAAAATTATTTTAAAAAACATGCTGATTATTATACTTTTAACATTTTAAATATGAACTTGTCAGACTGACACATTTCACACTGTATGTCTTTAGAGATGACGCTAGTGCTGCCCTCTGGTGGCAGCATTTCCATGGAGTGGGCAAAAAGCCACAATTCTCCACACACACTTTTTCAATTCTCTCAAACTTTACTGATGCTACTGAAATATTCTGCTTTTATTTAATTATTATTTTTTACTTAAAAAAAAATCTAAACAAAAAAAGAAAAAAGCAAAAATCAACAAATTGAAGCAGAGATCAACGATGGGTCTCCAAAAAAAACTAATAATACAGTCAGACAGCTTCAAACTGCTTGATTCTCCACAAAGCAACTGTTTAAAAACAAGCATTTTTAAGACAAATGAGAGATACACCCTTTTAGGGTTTTTATAGGTTAAAACAAGTTTTTCCTCAAATTACTGATTAATCATTCAGTCATTAAAACTCTCTGGGAGAAACAAAAAACAAACAAAGACCTAAGATGACATTTTCAGTTTTGTTACAATCTGAAGTGTAATTATCTCCCAAAACCTGCAGAGAGGGCCGAGAAGCAGTTGTCTGCTCTAAAGTGTGTGATGTAGTGTTGATTTAAAACCACATTTACAACTTTGCAGACGGTGATTATAGAAGACGTCCGGGCAGCAATTTGGCCTTGCACAGTTGCAGAAAGGGTTCTTTAACAGAAGCAAACTGTGTGTCAGGAACAATCTGCCATGCTGCCATGCTTCTGATCAGTGCCTGAGTTTTACCAGCACAGGAGGCTTACTCTGTAGTCCACCCTAAAATCAGCGGCCGACAAAATAATTGACTTTTAATTAATATTTATGGCATTCAGTCTGCCCCAGACAACAGGGTTTTGTTACTTCTGTCCATCAAGGTCGTGTCTTTATGTTGGCTTCCAGCACTGAGGAAATGAAACACTCATGGGTCCTGCTTGTGGCGACTGAGGAAAACAGAACGCTGCACTCTTTTCTTTTGGTTATTTCACTGTCTGATGATGCAAGATGTTCCAAATAAAACTTTTTTAGAGCTACTAAGTAGCTGATTCAAAGCACAGAAGGTGGCAAGAGGCACACAATATATAAATAAAATTTACCTTAGTGATCATTAGAGGAGCCACAGTGTTGGTGTGGAAGTTTTCTATCATCATCTCGGCGGTAACAGAATGAAAGTCGGCCACCACTTTGATGCCCGCATTGTTGATCAGGCAGTTCAGACCTTCTTCTTGCACCAGCTTGCTCACCTCTTCTACAGACTTCTCTATGCTCTCCTGGTTCACTACGTCTAGTAAAGAGACAAACTAATCAAAGCTGAAAAAAAAAATCATGCAACACTCGCAGCAACAAGAAATTGGGGGCTAAAGAACCATAAAAGGACAAGGTGATCATGAAATGTGGCTCAGATCTTAAATACAATGAATTGCATTAAGCCATGTGTTTGGCTGATTAGATATTTACAATAACAAGCAGTTCAACGGGTGTATCTAACAAAGTGGCCGATGGCCTGTCATAAAGACTGTGACTTTGTGTTTTAATTTTTCCTAAATTTTTTCTGTCTAAGAAAACAATGTTCTTCTCAGTCTTACCCAAAGTGATTATGTGGATGTTGGGATGCTTCTCCGCCAGTTCTTGAAGTTCCTGTAGGTCAAAAGCACAGTTGGATAGTGGTGAGGGAGGATGTCTTGATCATGTTTATTTCTTTTTCTTTTTTTTTTT